GGAGCCGAGCCCGCGAGGCTTGCAGGTGGGCTCGAGGTCTCGAGGTCAGGAGGCCCCCGCGACGTGACGGGGCTCGAAGCCCCTCCTGCGGGGGCCACGGCCAGCTCGTCTGCGGATTCCATGCCAGGAAGCGATGCTGCCGACATCCAGGCCCTGGCTGGCGACTAGCGGGGAGGTGGTCGGACCTGGGGGTGGACTGGATGAAGTTCTCTCGGCAAGTTTTTCGCGTGAGTGGTCATGCCTTTTTGGCCCATGCCGTTTTTTGGCCGCCTCGGCTCTTCGAAAAGCAGGATCCAGTCTTGTTTTCAGCGCGGGCCCTTTTTCTCGGGAGCTCCCAACGCTGGAGCGAAAGGGCCGTGCAGGCCCAAGTCTTCGCGGGCGGCATCAATGACCAGCTGCGCCGAATTCGGCTAGGTAGGTTTCCGTCTTGCAAGAAGACCTGAAATATCTGACGGTGGGGGCCCATGACTTGATCTCGCCGAGCGCCGGCTGCTGGCTCTATCTCTGGCGGAGCGCGCGTGGGCCCCTCAGGGCGAGTCTGCCCCCCTACTTTGCGGCTTTGCGTCTGACCTCGCCTTTCGTGAGCAGGCTTTGTTTCCTTGCGGCCTCGAAGAGGCCGACCTGCCCTCGGTGGGGGCCGGTGGGGGTGTTTCGATCCGAGGCCCGTCTGAAGGGCTTGGGCAGTCGGGCTTGGAGGCCTCGGCCTCCGGGTAGTTTTCGAGGAGTTTGGCTTTGGCCCCGTCCCCAACAAGCCTCGTCATTCTCTTGCGTTGTGCGCGCCCTAGGTGCAGCGCTTGTAGCGTTCTTCTGAAAGAGAGTGGGTTGCGACGCCTACTTTGGCGAAGTGTGCAACGCGCTGAGCGAGGCGAACGAAAGCGTGAAGAGGATATCCGCGTGAAATGCATAATCCATAAGTAAGCTCGAGGCTCGGAGTTCACGCTCGCCACGCAATGCCAGAGAGAGAGAGAGAGAGAAACATCTACATATGTAGAGAGGAAAACCGACATGCGAAGTAGCGATTTGCCGTCGTAGCCGAGGAACGAATGCGATATTGGGGGCGATATGCATGCGCAACAGACAGGCGGCCTGCCTCGTGTTGTCGCCATTGCAAGAAAAAGGAGGGCTGGCGGCTGTGTGATGAGGGGCAGCCCTGCGTAGTCTGGTAGTGACGCCCGTCCCACCTTCCTCTAATCGTACCGGCCACATCCGACCCCGAGGCATGTGCGCGAAGTGTGCGGCGTAGGCTGTAGGCTAGCACATGCTGGGAAGGCTGGCCTGAGTGGCGCAAGGGAGAATGGGTTGTTCTGTTAGGGCATCTTCAATTGGACACCCCGCAAGGGAAAGCGAGCGAACGAGCCGCGCGAGCATGCCTGTCGGCTGCTCGGCCCTGTGCAGGGCATGGGTGAGCAATCAGTCTACCAGCCAGGATAGGTTATGGATTTGAAATGCGGAAGCTGCAGAAGAGGGGCGGAAGGAAAACGGAGGGAGGGAAGGGGGCGATGGAGAGGCAAGGGCATCACGCCTTCATTGTGCAGAACTCGATGCACTGCTCCTCCGTTCCCGGCGTTTTCAGCGCCTGTGCCAGAGAATCTGCGCCGACGAATGGGCAGGACTTTGCGAGGTCATCTATCCATTGCCGCGGGAATGTGCGGCTCAGCCGCATGATGCCCAGATGCATATCTGTTCTTGAACATAGGGGCAAAGTCTTTGATGAAGAAATTTAGTATGAACTGGCGCACTGTTTATTGTGGGATACGGCAGTCTGCTTCGGCCTGCTTGAAGAGCTTCGGCAGGAGTAGTTGCTATCCCGCCTTGTGTGCCGTTTTTTTGGGGCGCTTGGCACCTTGGGGGCCAAAGGGCCCGGGGGTGGTGCGACGTGTGGCAACTCTGAAGTGAGATGAAACCAGGCCTGCGCATCCTGCCGTGATGGGAATTGCTCTGACTTTGCCCCTGCCCCCTCTTCAGCTGCCGCCGCCCCTTTTTGCTGCCGCCCGCTGGGCCCGCAGCTGTGTTGGTTTGCCGGGGGCCGCTGTGGCGTTTCTGTTTACGGGGGCCCAGCCGGATGGGCCCTTCACTGCCTGCACTTCGGTCGGTAATTCTGTGTCACAGACGCGGCCGCAGGCGCGACCTTGGCCGGAGGCGCTGGCTTCGGTGAGGTCGCAGTACCTCCTTTGTTCTTTCTTTTTCGTTCGTTTCCTCCTCCAAGTAGGCTTCTTGTGCCCTGCCTGTGATTGCGTTGCGGTCGATCGCCGTTCGTCATTTTTGACGTTATCCCCATGTCATGTACATCCCCTCACGCATCCACCCGGACAAGACGAAGATCCGGACGAATTTGATTGAGAGGACTGTGAGAGCACAGCAGCACAAGGTGAGCATCAACAGCATGGAAATCAATATTTTACCTCACAGTGGGTCAGCCAAGTACTTTGGGCAGCAGATCAGCTACCAAGACGCCGTGCAGACCGAGGTACAACACCGGATCAAGGCAGGCTGGGCAGCCTTCACTGCTCGCAAAGAGGAACTCACAGCGAAGCACTACCCCTTGAAGCACCGACTCCTGCTTTTCGAAGGCACTGTCACACCGACGGTACTATACGGGGCGGCCACTTGACTCTGAGCGAGCCTTTACGACAACAGTTACGATGCACCCAACGACGCATGTTGCGAATGATTGTCGGCTCCCCACGACGACGCAACACCGCCAACACGAGGCCGACATCCAGTGCGACCAACCAACCCGCGATTCAAGCGACGACAGACCCGCAAACCCACGAAGACGACACGCACGGAGAAGCAAAACACAGCCGACCGTCATCTACCCACCCAAACGCAGATGCCAGCACGGCTAACATCCCCAGCACCAACAACGAGGAGAACGTCGCACCGGAGAACACTGTCTTGGAGTCGTGGGTCGAATGCATCAAGTGCACGACAAGACAAGCAGAAAGCCTCATGCACAAGCACAGTGTGATCGATTGGAATACGAGGCAACGGCGATTGGTGTGGAGATGTGCCGCGAGAGTGGCGAAGCAGTCCCCTCGAGAATTGTCTCAATGCGTGGTCAACTGGCACCCGAGCCTCCATGCTTCTCAAAAAGGCAACACGAATTCGGGAGGACAGCAGAAGCGATGGGATGACGACGTGCGTGATTTTCTCGTATCCCACGGTGTGCAAGAGAGACCCGCCCGGAGCAGGTACGACGTGAACAACGTCGATTGGCTTAAACTGGCGACCGCCGATTCAACTTGGACTAAACTGGAGGCGCAATTTGTCACGTGTTCCACTCCTGATACTTCTGTGGCGCCGGCCGGCCGAGTAAGCTTCCAGCTAGCCGGCCATGTCTGCGAGGCCACGGCCTCGCCCGCTCCGCCCTCAAGGGGCCCGGGCCATTGCCCGCGCGAGCGTCCCATTCCCATTCCCATTCCCCTCCTTGTCGTCATCCGGTCGCTCTCTTCGGCTATTATCTCATTTCCATAGTTTTTCTTTGCTCCATCTCGATCACTGAGTTTGTCTTCGTCCTTTCCATCATTCGCACCACGACCTTCACGTGCATCCTCGACATCATCTAATTCCCAGTCTTGAACGCCACCAGCGTCCCCATCATATTTAGCATCATCATCATCATCATCATCATCATCATCATCCGCGTCATCACCATCACCATCATCACCATTTGCCTTGCATTATTCTCATGATCAACATTTTCACGATCATCATCGTTATCATATTTTTCGCTGCCATCCTTGTTCTCATCATTTCTTTTTATCATAATGGATGCGCTCCCTGCCTTTAGTTTCCTTGCTGAGTCATCTCGTGGCTATCGTGGGACAGCTAAATGATCGTCTTGAGCCATGTCGGGATCTCACGGGGGCATTTCGCCCAACCTGTGTGAAGGATAGCATGATCTCGAGGATATGTTTGGGCCTCTGGAGCCCATCTGGTGGATCTGGGGACCCTTTGGGGCATCCTGGAGCCACCTTGAAGGCCTGTCGGGCCGTCCTGGGCGATTTTGGCGGCATCTTGGTGTTGCCCGAAGCTACCTTGGTGGTGTCCTGGGTAATGCCAGAAACTCTGCGAGATGTCTGGAAGAGGTCTTGGACATGTAGGAACAAAAAGATGGGGCACGCAGAAGCCATTCAACAAATTATTGTTGTTTTTCAGTGTTTTGGCTCTCTCACACCCCGGGGTTTTCTTCGGCCGTCTTGGGCTCTTGAGGCCCTTGTCAGGGCCTCTTGGGGCCGCTCGCGAGACCTCTTGAGATATTTTGGCTGTCTGGTGGAGTCCCTGTGGGAATCCTGGGACAACCTAGGGCGCCCGAGTGGACGTCGGGCCGCCCCCCGTTTTTTATTCAACGGTCGCCCCCCATAGAATGTAGAAGGGAGACAGACCTGGGCAGACAACAATCAAGCAGCACAAGACAGCACGAAGAGCACAAGGCAGTACTTCAGCATAAACTTTCACACCCCCGCGGGGCACCTCCAGATCAAGGGTGCGGCCGTACTGCCAGTGGAGCCTCATTTACTACGAGCGAGGTGCACATTGGGCGGTGGGTGCGATTCCAGTCGTGATGCTCGTTGGGCGAGTTCTCTCCTCCGTCTCCCCGCCTTCTTTCTCTCTCTCTCTATCTCTCTCTCTCTCTTTCTCTCTCTCTCTCTCTCGCTCCCACCCTTCTCGTCGCCACAGCCCACGGTTCAGCGCTTCTCTTGCAACCTCATTTGTATCTGAGCCATGCGGTTTTGGTCACTTTCGAGTTGGCGCGAACTCTGAAGTCGCTCTCGTAATCTGCATGGCCGCCGTGACCACAAGTCTTGGGGCCCAGCTTCGCCAGAATGGCTCTGTGTCTCTCTCGCCTCATCCTCTCTCTCTCTCCCCAACTCGCGCACTTTCTCTTGTCTGACCTCTCCTGTCCTTCGCTGGGGTGCGTCGCCTGATTTCCCTTCTGTCTTCTGTCTTCTGTCCCCTCTTGCCATCGGCTGTTCTCTGGGCTTGCTCGGCGCAAGGATCGTCGCCAGGGTCCTGCGTCGGGGCTCGAATCCCGAGACCTTCGACCTCGACTGCAAGCTTGGCGTGCACTTTGGTAGGCTGCTTGCGCGGGTAAGTGGGCCGGGCGGCAGGGAGCGCACGGGTAGCCTAGCGGAGCCCTCCGAGGCCACGGGGATTGGGCAGAGATTGGGGGTCTGGCGGGCGCACTGGAGGATCTCTGGGTTTGGCCTGGCCGGGACGCTAGGCCCACGCTCAGATGCCAAGCCCGTCCAGTGAGCAGTCTTCGCGACCCCCTTCTTGTCCAGATGGGGGGTGCCTGGTGGGCAGATGACGGTGAACATTTTTCGCCCTCAGCGGCCACTCTGGGGAGTTGCCTGGGCCGTTTTCTCGCAGTGTCGAGAGCGAAGGCTCCCAGGGAGATCTCATATGAAGGGTGCAGAAGCGCCCGCTGCCCAGCTCTGGGACCGCGCCACGGGTCAATGCCGCCAGACTATGATGATGTGCCCTACCAATTCACGACGTGGAATTTCTCGAAACGAAGCGCAAGCTTGGACTCAAATCTACAGTTTTCGAAATAGTCGATACCCTTGGACAATAGGGTTTGATTGGGTGTGCAGCTGTGGCCATTCTCAGATCGAGTTGCTGTTGCGGTTGCTGTTGTTCGGTTTGCATATCGCCGCTGCCGTTTTGTTCTGCACTTCATGCTTTCCCTGCTCGCTGTGTTGGTATGTCACCAGGCTCCTCACATATAGCGTGACATGCAGCTGTAGCAAGCCTGTCCGCTGTCACTGTGTGCTGGTGAACTTTCACAGAGCGTCTAAGGCTTGATGTAGGAGCACAGTGTAAGAGTGCGTTATGTACTCGGTGGTGTCTGCCAGTGGCCGATGAGTTTTGCTTATAGGGCCTTTCTTGGCTCACACAGGCTGCGGTGAGTGTGTTGGTAAGCCTCCAAGGGTTGTCCCACACCTTGCCGTAGCCTGCTTTCACTTACCCTATACAGATACGTAAGGATCCCCGTCTAAAATCACTCTCCTGGTCTTCACCCCTCTCCACGTATGCCGCAGTTTGTGTTTGCGCGATTGAGTATTTCTGAACATGGAAAAAGGTATGGTATCTGTGGAGGACGTTGACGCTGAGATTTCAGTGTGTGTGAACTCTGACTCAGAAGCACTCGCACACACCAGGACATGCCACCATCCGTGATAGGACCTCCTGACGTGGACAGGCCTGCGATGTGCGGTGAGGGGGCTGGCACTTGAGAAGCCTCATCCCTCGTGTGGCCCCCAGCCTGACGCCCCATGGCTTGCTCCGCAGGCCCTCCCCTGGTGCCCGCCGCAGGCTGCGGCCAGCCGCCACGGGCCAGCTGTGCCGGCCCGCCGAGCCTGCTCCGGAACCTCCGTCTTGTGCCGGCCTCGGCTGCACCGCACGGGGGGTCTTCGGCACGGGGGGGCAAAGCCGCGGGCCCCCCGATTGCTGCTGTCCTCGTCGCACCCTGCCTCTCCATGTCCTTCTCCGTCCCCGTCCGCGTTCCCATTCGCCGCCCCTCCACCCTCTCGACCCCCTCCAGCTCCCCTTCCTTCCTCGCTACTCCCATCTCCCCGTCCTCACTGCTCCCTGTCTTGCTGTCAGACCGTCCATCCGTCTTGCCGTTTCCCCGTTTCCCGCGCTCCCCTTGTTCCCAGCCATCCTGTGGTGTTGAGGGTTCGCATGGCGGCGCCTGGGGCGATTTCGACGCACCCCTCACGAGGATCGTGGCCCTATAGTAAAGGAGCTCCACCGAATGCCCCAGTGGCAGGGTTCGCATGGCGGCGCCTGGGGCGATTTCGGCGCATTCCTCACGAGGATCGTGGCCCCATAACGAGCCTCACCGAGGCCTTGGTGCGAGTGTTCGCATGGCGGCCTCGGACCATCTCGGCACACCACTGAAGAAGATCATAGCCCCATAGGGAGCTCCATCGAAGGCAACATTGGCAGGGTTCACATGGCGGCCTCGGGCGATTTCAGCACACCCCTGACGAGGATCGTGGCCCATAGGTAGCTCCACCGACGGCCCCAGTGGCAGGGTTCGCATGGCGGCCTCGGGCGATTTCGGCGCATTCCTCACGAAGATCGTGGCCCCATGAGGAGCTCCACGGAAGGCCCCAGTGGCAGGGTTCGCATAGTGGCCTCGGGCCATCTCGACTCTCCCCTCACGAGGATCGTGGCCCCACAGGGAGCTTCGAAGGCCCCAGTGGCAGGGTTCGCATGGCGGCCTGGGGCGATTTTGGCACACCGCTCACACGCTTCGTGGCCTCACAGGGGAGCTCCACCGAATGCCCCAGTGGCAGCGCCCGCATGCGTCTGCCCGCTCATTTCGGCACACCCCACGCACGTTTCGGGGCTCCCCTCCGCGTTGTCCCGTGCTCCATCCCTCTCGCGGCGCGCTACTTGTGATGAGAGCGGCAGCTGCATATGGTTGGGTCCTTCGCAGGCTAAGTTTTTTCCTCTCGCGCTCTCCCTCCCCTCCCGCCTGCCCATTCCTCTACCCTTAGAGGCGCAGGAACGTTGCGGCAGCTGCACATTTGGCGGCAACCAGGTTGGCGAAATAACTATGTATTTGACATGCCTACGTAGGCCAGCAGTCCGTTGGGACCCTTAGGGGGCCCAGAAAATTTGCGACAGTTACGAATTTGGCGGCACTGGGAGGGGGGAGCCCGAGATGGTCTCCAAGACGGTCCCAAGACGCCTCCCAAACTGCCAAAAGGTCCCCAATGGAGCCCGATATGGCCCCAAGATGCATCCGAACTGGCGGCCTTCAAGAGGCACCAAGAGGGCTCCAAGAGGACCTCCAGGATGCCACAATCCTTGCTTTTCTTTTGGCTTTTCAAAGTGATACTAGCGTTCTTGCCCTCCAAGACGGCCCAAGAGGCTTCCAAGAGGCCCGCAAGATGGCCCAACAGGGCCCCAAGATCGCCCAAGAGGCCCCCAAGGCGACCCCAGACTGGCTCCATGGACCTCACCCTTCGCCGGATTGACCTTTGGTGCTGGCCCAAAGGGGGTTGGGTGATTTTTCTTGTGGAATGGGCTTGACCTCGCGTCGGCACCCGCATCGTGTGATTGCGCTCGCATCTGAGCGCGCCAGGTTGGGGCCCACCCCTTGCAATCGACAGCAGCGCATACGCGGTGCACCCTACAGTTTGCATTGGTTACCCGAGGGGGAGCCGGTGACCAGTCCCGCATCCCAGTCCAAACCCCAAAACATTTGGCTAGAATGTCTTCGGATATCTTTGGACATTTTTGGATATCTTTGAATCTCTCTGAACATGTTTGAATATGTTTGAAGAACCAATGGAAATATTTACTGCTATAAGTTATCCAAATATATTCAAACTTATTCCAGGCTCTCGGATGGGGCTGGTTTTGGCCATGACGCCGGGCCTGGTCAGACGTCAACGCGATGCAGCCCGGCAGTGCCAGACCTTGTCGCGGTGGCCCCTGGCAGCTTGACTCAGGACAGCCTCAGAGGGAACAGAGAAGAACCGAACAGCTTCTTCCACGCGCCGACACAGGGTCGGCGGATTTACAAGATTTATTGCAGGGAGTTCGAGCGGACCTGAGGACACTCCACTTTGTGCCCACGGGGACGGTGGCGGATTATGTTGCGTAGCATCGCATATTGTACACATGTCTTGGCAGAACGTTCTGACACGATGACAGGATCCTCTCCCCGTCGCCATGCTTTTTTCGCGACTCGTCGTTCAGCCCCGCGAAGGTTTAGAATAGTCATCATGCTCGTGCTCTTCGTCATTTCCCCTTGTTTAATAGTCGCATGCACCTTCGCTAGCGCTCGTGTCAGGGCCCTGCACCTGCTCTTGCTTCTGCTTTCCATTCAAATCCCGTGCCTCTGTCCATTGTTTGCCCAACCCCTTGTCGGGAGCGTGTCGTTGGGAAGTCGTAGGCATTCAGGAGGAATGGGAAAGGGGGGGATGGAGTGGAGTGGAGTGGAGTGAGGAGTGGGAGGGAGGGGAGTGGAGTGGAGGGAGGACTAGGAAGATGACGGCAGGACGCATTAGGAGAGGGAAGGGGAGGAAGGTGGGGCGGGGGGAGGGGAGGAAGGGAAGGGGGAAGGAATGAGGGAGGGAGGGGAAGCAGGGAGGAAGGGAGGGTGATAGGGTTTGGACGGGATAGGGAGCATCAGACTGGCAGACACGAACTAGGGGCGCTCAGGTGCGACGGGGACGCTTGGAGCCAGCCAGAAGTCTGCAGGCCAGCCCACCATATCCTGTATCTGCGCATCGCTGCTGAAGCTCGCCCTTGTACTGCTGCCGCTCGCTTGTCTTCATACTTATCCTCGCGCCTACTTTCATTTCTTCCTGGCCGATGGCAGTTTCTTTCGTTTCGTTTTTGCCAGGGCATTTTCCAGGAGGTGTTGGGGCTGGTGAGCGGACTCTGGCCCAGATGGAGAATCCATCTTTGACGCAACAGCGAATACGCAGGGGTGTGCGTTTTACCCCTCGGTGTTGGCGCACGTTTTATTTTGAGCGGAAATCCCGCTGGGTTTCGGGGGCCCTCGTTCCGTCTGGGCCTCCCTCCGGTCCTCTCTTGCCTTTTCGCTTTCCTCCGGAGGATCGAGACGAGGGTCACTTCGATTGCTTCGATCGCTTCGCCGCGCGACGAGCTTTTGGGCTCGCGAAGAAGCGGATACGGGTTGAAAAAGACGCGCGCGGCCTCGCCTGCTTGCTTCCTCGTTTTCTCTGACTCGTATATCATATGGATATAATTATTTACATAATTGTTGAAATCAATTTCGGCCGCCTTTACAGGCGAACGGAGAGCCATCTCTACATAAGGGGTTGTTTGGCTCCTCGATCCTTCTAACCCCCAAAGCAGGTTACCAGCCGAAGCAACGCAAGCGCTGCAACTGGCGCCAAACGCTACAATCAAGATGGCGAATTCAGGCTAGCTGGAAGCAAACCTGGAAGCCCTCATCTCCGACGAGTCGTTCGGTTCGGAGATCTCAACACAATCAGTAAGACAGCAGCCGTCGGGGTGCAGACAGGTCGTACCTGTCGACCTTGCCTCGGTTAGGGGTGAAGATAACCCACCGCGTCCTCGCGAGAGGGCGGCCACGGCGGGGAAGCCTGGCGCTATTGCGTCGGGGAGACCTGACGCGCGCACGGCAAGATTGGTATGGGATCCGACGAAAGAAGGTTTGCCCCGTGCCTTGCTGTGAGTGCGCGTGGATACGATGCCTCGATTGCCAAGGCACCCGAATGCAACCTGTGCAACCGGTACCACCCGAATGGTCGAACAACAGCTGTCTGAGTTACTGGCGGGACCACGAAAGGAAAAAACTGCCGTCGTGGAAAAAACAACAGCCGAATAAGGAAAAAACCCCGAAAAAACAACCATTTCCTCGTTTTCCTGTTTCCTTTCGTGGTCCCTATCCTTTTCATGGTCGAACGACAGCCGCCGTGGAAAAAAAAATAGGCTCGGTGTCGGCAGCCGACGCGCTCCAGACTCTGAGCCACCACATCGCTGAAATCCGCAGGCCTCGTCCAGACCAGGTTATAAATTAGATAAAGAATTTGTTAGCAAATATCCTAATCTTAAACAAATAGAATATAATGATTTTTTTTAATATTGAGGTCAGAGCTGCTCCAAATGCAGCAACAGGCCTCGTCCGAGCAGAGCAGAGTCTTAACAACAAGAGGCTGACCTCAATAGATTGCGAGCAACCTTCACGGAGTTCGCCAGCGCCACATCAGGCGCAAATCGCCCAGAGTGTGGAGCTTCAGGATCAGGAATTGTTGACGCAGTCTGGTCAGCTTAGGTGCTGCTTAGGCCGCCGGTTTGTCGGCGCGTTAGGCAATTAGGTTCGCGCGTAGCCCGCCCGACCCTTGACGCTGCTGGCGCGCTGGTCTGTGGCCGCGACGAAAAAATATCCCCACGGAAGCTGGCCAACCTACGGAATAGCATGCCCAGCAGGCCCACAGCTGTCAGTCTGACACCGCCTGTGCACCTCCCAACCGGGCTTGCCAAAATCGCAAACCCAACCGCCGACTGCCTGCTACGCGCCCGCCTTCTCACACCGGACTCAGCCAACGACCCCAAGGCGACAGGCGTACCGAATTCTCCAACCCGACCTGACGACGACCGCTTCGGCACACAGGGACTCAAGTCTGGGATCTACATTGCAACGTGCGACGGCTGCCCAGAGCCCAAGCTGCTGTACACTTGGAAACACGGGCAGCCAGCTGTTGGGTGTTTCGTCTGGCGACCGACTCCTGGCATGGAGGAGACAGAGCAGTGCGACCTACCTTCCTGGGGCAACTGGATCGACTGCAGGACGAGCGGCGATTAGAACGCTGGCTGGTACTGCTGGATCTGTCTCGCTCACATCTTTGATGCTGCTCCATCCGTCATCAACCGCATCCTTGCGCGTGACGCGCCATCGATGTATCCAGTCTCCCCCGCAGCGCGGACATCCAAGAAGAGGAAAGAGGACGCGGGTGGCCTCGCCCTCGCACTTGGCAAAGAAAGAGCGCAGGTACCACGCGGCGACGACGAAGACAAGTGCGGGTCACCATCGGAGACGTCGCCACTACCCGAACCCAATCCAGAACGCGTGGACGCAATCAAACACATGTTTCCGGACATCAGGATCCCGCAGCTGCCAGACGTGGCCAACGCCAGACCCGACACGTTCTTCCAAGCGTGGACAGACGACAACAACGACACACCGGGACACACGCCAGTTCAAATGTGCCTGCACCTCAGACGCATCAGCTCAGTTGCCAATGACATCTTCTTCGCGCTGGAGGTGCCAGACAACGGATTGGACGTCAACTGGCTCAACGTTCTTGCCTGCTTCACCCTGGCCTGGACGTTTCCTCCGTCGGGACTCACTGCCGACGGATTGGTGCCAGGCGCGGAATGGGATGGCAAAAGACGGGCCGCTGGACTGGTCGTACAACACATCATCGGGAAGGACGATTGGCTAAAAAAGCTGTGGGCGGCAAACGTCAATGGCACGGATATCGACCAATCGTCCCAGCGCCAGACAGCATGTCTTGTCGGCAGCTCATGGAGCGAATGGCCAGCTTTGCTGATAACGCCGAGGACAACATGTCGTCCCTGTGCGACCCGGGCTTCCAGCTAATGCGCGATGAGGAGAAGAGTCTGGGCCCCTTGGTCAGCGTGGTCATGAAAGCCTCTCTCGGGGGGCAATTCTTCATCCCCCGTCCTGGCGCGGACTTGCGCGGGCGGCTACTGTCCCGACCTGAAGGTCCATCATCCATACACAGCTACAAGAGAGATCAGGAGCAGCTCAGGAAGCGAGGCAGCTGCTGCCACGGAGGAACGCAGGAGCCCGGACGACGATTTCCTGGACTACGACCCGAGCAAGGCCAGCGAGGGGTTTGAAGCGGACGAGGCAGAAGAGCCTGAGGGAGGCCCAGCTACAGGGGGGGGTCACAACACTGGGACTGCTGACGATGAACCATCCAGCGCCGCAGACGATAGACCCCCGCTGCCGAGGGGGCGAGATCCGCCATGCTGGGCTCCACCAAAAGGGCGCGAGCGAGGCTGGGGGCAGAGCGGCGGGCGAGAACGACGAGACGCTCACATTCAGCAGGCCGCTGAGTACAGGACTGGTTCCTCGCGCGGACACAGGGGCCAGTGGAGTTGCGACAGGTCTTCAGACCGCCGGGCCGCGCAGTCTCGCGACGACGCCTGGCGTGACCAGAACGAGCGCGCGGGAAATGACGGGATATTCAACCATGGCAAATGGGTGCCTTTCTCCAAGAACCCACTGACCATCCACGAGCCCAAGAAGAAAGACAGGTCCAAGTACAGGGCACCACTGCGCGAGATCGACGCGCGCTACCCGGGGGGCTCCGACGGCGCCTTCGTCTCCAGGATGCAAAGGGAACTAGGCAGCATTTTCGGGGTCGCGGCAGTCAGTGGCGCCTCCAGCTCAGGCGCTGCCAGCAGCAGCGGGGCCGCCGCCACCGGGTTCCACGCGGCGGGAGAGCGCCCGAGCAAGGGGGGGGCAAGGCGAAGGACGGACCCGATTCACTGGGCGAGGCTGGGAAGAGGAGCCGAGCGACCGAGAGCCCATGGACCGAGAAACGGTATCGATAGTGACACCGAGTGTGGGGCACCACCCAGTTTCACTGTGATGCGGTTTTGACATCGCACCGGGTATGTGGTGCACCTAGTAGCGCCACGCGCCTACGCTGCTAATTCTCTGTCCATGCATGCGGCGGTCAGCCGCGTCCCCCTGCTCTCCTTCTGTTTCTGCCTCCTACGCAGTCAGTGCGGCTCAATGGCGGCTTCAGACTGGCAGCCCGCCGTGATTGCCCCTGCCAGGCGTCCCATTGAAGAGCGCCTGGGATGTTTCATCGACGGCGCCTCCTTGCGGGCTCTTTGAGTAACTAGTGCGTGGCTAAACAGGGAAGTATACATTGCCTACGCCCGTTGGCGCACATGGGGCGGTGTGCTGGCCCCATGGGAGACCTCATCATCCGTGACTGCGCGCTATTTCGCGGCTGAAAGAGGTCAGCTTTACCCGGGACTTCGTGTGGGGAACAACGACGAGCTGGTGCCGGTGGCGGGTTTACTAGGGTTCTTCCCTGGTGGCTGGGGTTTGGCTCAACACTGCTTCCTGATGGCGTTCAGGTGGTCTGGAGTTCCTGCGAGGATTCGCGCTGGGAATAGTGCTGCGTCGCATTCGCTGAGGTCAAGTGCCCCCTGGCCAGCTCCTGGCGGGTGTCGGCTCCTACTGATGACCGGCAGGTTCCAGTGGGTCTCTCGCTGCGCTGCCTACCTTGCGGAACCCGGACCTCGGGTTCGGCAAGTGTGGCTCTGCATGGTCGTTTGCCGGCGTTCTCCTGCATGGACTTCGCTTTCGACGAGTGTTACAGGTTTTACTGGCGTTTGTGTCGCCTACTTCACGGATGTCGTCTGGGTGTGCCTGTCGGTGTAGTTCGTTTCTGACGGTGCTGTTTTTGTGACTCGCACCGAGCGATCGACCTCTGCATGTCTATGGTCGCGCGATGTTCGACCGGAAGAGATGCGCTCTCGACCCGCGGATCAAAAAAGTTTATGGTCGCGCCGCCGCGCCATTTCAGCTGCGCCTACTTGCCGGTCGCCACCGGGGTTTTCAAAGCCACCAGGTTTGGGAGTATCAGTTCTGGCTCTCCTTCTGAGTGGCTGCCCGCCCGCTCGGTTCGCTTGCTTTTCTTTTCCTGCTGCCTAGTCGC